CTTCCCAGGTGGCATGAGTGGTAAAGAACCCACCTGCCAATGCAAGAGACATAAGAGATGCAGGTTTGACCCCTGGATTGGGAAGATCCTCTGGAGGAGGGCATGGCAACCCACTGCAGTATTCTTGCCTAGAGAATCCCACGGTCAGAGGAGCCTGGTGGGCTACAGTCCATAGGGTGGCAAAGAGTTGGACACGACTGAGCTGACTTGGCACGCACGCATGCATGTTCATAGTTTGCCCCAATTGCGCACGTCTGCAGCTATTAGTCCCTCATAATTTCTTTGTATTCTGTGGCTCGAGATGTTGGTCAAGCTGCAAGGACTGCAGCAAGGGATCCCAGGCCCTGGCCTGCCTCACTGGGAGCCTCAAGGAGGACCAGAGGCAGAAGAGCCCCAGGCTTGCCTCTTGTGCCAGTTGCCTGAGGAGTTGGGGGCAGAGCCACCCTAAGGAGACTTTGCTTTGGCAAAGAGGTTACCATAAGATGAGGCCAGACCTTGGTCCAGAATGTTCCTGTTGATGCAAAGAGGATCCGCTCTGCCTTCATGAAGTGAAGGGATTGGAGGGCTCTTGAGGCCAGTGACACAGCATGCACTCTTGCTGAACACTGTTCCCCATTAACTGCATGTGACTCTCATAACCAGCGGGTGGCGGAGACAAGTTGCTCCGCATCCTTGCTAACAGCTGGTATTGCTGGTCTTTCTCATTTTCGTCAATCTGCTAGGTATATGCTAAATACTAAATGAGCATTTCTCTGATTGCTTGTGAGGTTGAGTTCTTTTTGGAGTTTGTGTAATGTTTTCTTCTCTGACATAATGTCATGTTTTTACTATTAGCTTATCCTGGCTTTCATGATCTCTGACTTTTGGTTTCCTCTGGGCCAGTCCAAAAGAAAAGAGAAGGGGGAAGCATGAAGATGGTTCTAGACTTCAAGGAGAGAGAACACTGGAAGCAGACCTCTGTTCTGAGGGACAGGCTCCAGGGGCACAGTGATGGCCAGTGCTGAAGTGTGGACTCTGCCAGGAGACTGGCCTGGGTGGATTTGACCCAGGGCTTTAGGGAAACTGATGTAATTCTGTTAGGGAACCATTGACTGAAACCACCCACCCTGGCCAGGCACGATAATAACCACTGGCACGAGTGATCTCACAAGCGGAGATTCATATAATGAACATGGAACTGACAAGCTACCTCCAACTGGAAGAATCCAGAAGGGTTCAAAAGGAAGGAGGAGACACCAGCCCATAATATGTCCAGTCAACCTCCCAGAAATCCTTGGGCTGGAACCCATCTTGGCTAAGAGATGCAGGCACCAGTGGGAAGGACCCGAGTCAGATCAAACACAGACACAAACAAGATGATTGGCCAGAGGCAATCCAGAAAGCTAACCCCATGACCTTAAAACCTGAGACTGAGCCACACAGTACAGCAGTGCTCCTGGGTTCCCTCCCGCTGCTGCTCTCTGCCCAGATGCCCCTTCCCAATAAAGTTTCTCACTTTGTAGAGAGTGTGTCTCCCTGGACAATTTATTTCTGAATGTTGGACAAGAGCCCACTCCCAGGCCCTGGAAGAGGTCACCCTTTCAATAACAATTCCATCATTACAAAACCTACAGCCAGAATAATGGCTCTATGTTGGGAAGAAGCCCATCTGGCAAGGAGAGGTAGCGGATGGGTCAGAGGCAGTGTGAGGAAATCCCAGAGCAGAATTCTGGTACCAGTGGCGAGAGGCCCCAGCGGGATGTGTGAACAGCACGGCCCCTGGGAACCGTCGGCGCTATTTGAGCGCGCGCTGGGTAGCCTACTCTCAAGGCAGAGCTGGGGCCTGACGGTAAACGAAAGGGCAGCCCAGTCGGACTGGAAGACGGGGGACACACAGTTACACCAGGGAAAGGTGAGGGCCAGAAACATCTAATTCTCCAGTCACCCTGCCCTCTGCCTTACTGGACCAAACTTGCCTTTTCCCCTTCCTTTCAGAGCAGGTCCTTTCTCAAGTGGACCTCTGTCTCTCGGCAGCCCAGCTCACAGCTTCCAGGCGGGCCTGGACATGGCTGAGTCCCAGCAGTGAACCAGTTTAAAAAGATGTAGGATGCTCACTACAGGTTTTGTTTTGGTTTTGTGTCACACACCCCCGCCTTTTTTTCTTTTTTAACATTGAGGCAGAATTCATTTAATGTAAAATTAACCTTGTTGAAGTATACAATTCAGTAGCATTTAGTAGCATTGTGAAATCAATGTTGTGCAAACATCACCACTGTCTAGTTCTAAAACAGTCTTTTTTCCTTTGAAGTGGATTTTATTTTTTAGAGTAATCTTAGGTTCACAGAAAGACTGAGCAGAAAATAAAGAGTTCCCATAACCTGTCTCCCCTCTACATGCACAGTATTCTCCACTGATCAACATCTCGCACAAGAGTAATTCATTTGTTGAAATCCATGAACCTGCACATCATAATTCCCCAAAGCCTACAGTTTACATTAGGGTTTACTCTTGGCATTGTGCACTCTGCTTTAACAAATTATAATGACACATATCTAACATTATAATATCATACAGTACAGTTTTACTGCCCTAAAATGTCCTCTGTCTTCTGCCTATTCATCCCTCCCCTGCCCTTGTTGAATCGTAAACTGAGGCATATTAAAATTTTTTTAATTTATTAGAGCAAACATTGGTTTAAGTGGAGCAGTATCAAATGGGAAGTGGTGACGACCCCGCCTCAAGCAAAAGCTGGGGAAGTACCTACACAGACAAGGTGTGAAGCAAAGAAAGAAAATTACCTGATAAGCTGTAGCTTAGAGTCTACTGGGCTGTTGATCACAAACTGTGATTGCTTGTCCTCAGCTTTCCATTTCCTAACCTTGAAGCTTGGGCTTAGATTTTGGTTGGTTTACATGGGCCTCCTTCTCCATTAGAGGCACCTCACTCTATGGGCCTCTTTGTGTAACTAATTAACACCCCCAACCCCTGGCAACCACCAATATTTTTACTGTCTCCATAGACTTGCCTTTTCTGGAATGTTATACAGACAGATCATACAGAGCACAGCCTTCTCAGACTAGCTTTTCTCACTCTGTAATATGCATTTACGTTTCCTCTATGACTTTTGATGGCTTGATACCTCCTTTCTTTCTAGTGCTGAATAATATTCTAATGTCCAATGCACCACAGTTAACTTACCCATTGAGAGACTGAATAATACAAATGGACAATGGTCAGACCCCACATAAAAATAGAACTTTGACCCATAACCTACAGTAAACTGCCCAGGAAGCCAACCTCTACTAATCTTCAGTAAGCAACTCAGAAGTCAGCCTGGTATAAGTCAGACTCAAGGAAGCCAAGTTGCTATCTCCGGTGACAATCCATGGAGCTAAACAATAACTTCTATAATAATCTGCCTCTAGTGGCCAGCACTTGGTGGCATTTTTTTTTCATTTATTTTTATTAGTTGGAGGCTAATTACTTTACAATATTGTAGTGGTTTTTGCCATACATTGACATGAATCAGCCATGGATTTACATATGTTCCCCATCCTGAACCCCCCTCCCACCTCCCTCCCCATCCCATCCCTCTGGGTCTTCCCAGTGCACCAGCCCCGAGCACTTGTCTCATGCATCCAACCTGAACTGGCGATCTGTTTCACTGACAGCTTCCAACTTAGGGCCAACCAAATACATCCTCTAACCAGTCACCCAGGGTGCCACACTTCTATTAGTCCTCTGGAGCTCCCCCATGCCAACGGCTTCCAACAAGGTGTACCTGAAGGCTCCTCTTTTTTCCGCCTATAAACATTCCTACTCTTCTGCTGCCTTTGAGTCCTTGTCAATTGTTAGTGGCCAACTGCCTTGCTATATAGCAAGTTCATCAAAAGCCTTTGTTTTTCTCATTTGATTAGTTTTATGTTTACACCATGCCCTTTACTGAATGACATTTTGGTTGCTTCCAAGTTTTGACAATTATGAGTGAAGTCGCTATGACCATCCATGTGCAGATTTTTGTGTGGACACAAATTTTCAACTCTTTGGGCTAAAGGGTAAATACCAAGGAACATGATTTTTGGATTGTATGGTAATCTGTATACTTAATATGTTCGGTTTTCTAATAAACTGCCAAACTGTCTTCCAAAGTGACGGTATCATTTTGCATTCCCGTTAGTAATGAATGAGAGTTTCTACTGTGCCATATTCTCACCAGTGTTTGGTGTTGGCACTGTTTTGAATTTGGGCTATTCCAACAGGTGCAGGCATGCTTGCATGCTAAGTTGTTTCAGTCGTGTCCAACTCTTTGCAACCCCATGGACCATAGCCTGCCAGGCTCCTCTGTCCATGGGGTCCAGGCAAGAATACTGAGTGAGTTGCCATTTCATCCTCCAGGGGATCTTCCTGACTCAGGGATTGAACCTATGTCTTGTACATCTCCTGCACTGGCAGGCAGGTTCTTTATCACTAGCACCACCTGGGAAGCCCAAAATATGTATTATGTTGTGGGGGTTTTAATTTGCAATTCCTTAATAACAAATAATATTGAACATCTTTTCTTATGCCTATTATCCATCTGTATATCTTCTTTAGTGAGATATCAGTTCACATTTTCCGCCCATTTAAAAAGTCAGGTTGTTTGTTTACTTACTGTTGAGCTTTAAGTGTTCTTGGTATATTTTGGATGACAGTCCTTGACTGTCTTCTGCAAATATTTTCTCCCAGTCCCTGGCTTGTCTTCTTATTCTCTTGACAGTCTCTCAGAGCAGAAATTTTTAACTTTAATGACGTCTTTCTAATCAACTATCTCTCGCATGGACCATGCATCTGGTGTTGTATCTAAGAAATCATCACCATATCCCAGGTCATTTAGATTTTCTCCTGTCTAAAACATTTTCGCCACTCCCCAAGGCTATATACTGCATGTGTTTCTACATCCAACTGTCATATATCTGCACTTGAGTGGCCTATGAGCAGCAGTTTATTTTTATCAGTAGTGGGGAATGGAAGGCACTTTGTACCTTTATGCTTCTGTTCTATTTGAGTCTTGGTCTTGAATTCCCGGGATATGTGGCATCTGTTAGAAGCAAATTAAAATTGAGCAAGTGGGGCTTCACCACAGAGGTTCCGGCTGGGGAGGGTTGAGGCAGGAGGTTCATATTTGTCTTCATATTTCTGTAGAGGAGAGTGAACATCTGTCCTATTCTCCAGAGGAAAGGCTTCTGGAACAATGTTTCTGGTCCCTTTCTTAAACTCCCAGTCCTGCCCCTATGGGGAGAGTGATTTATCTGGTTGCTGAGATGACTGGCATTTGACATTCATTGGGCCCTGGATGTTGGATGTTCAGGTCCTCTGCTGAGCAAAGTTAATGGGTCAAAGGCACACACGCAGTCCCTCCTTCTGCCTGTCTCACAGCCTCAGTCGCACAAGTGTGAGGCTGTGCCCGATTCTCCAGGCTGCCTTCCTGTGTCCAGTTCCCAAAGCTTAAACTGGGGGATGGGGTTACACCACTAAGTTGTCCAAAGTTCCAGTCATGCTCTCCCATCAGCTTGACTACCCTGAAAGCAGATATTTTGCACCCTATATTACTCCTATTTTCTTCTAAATGGATTCAGAATCTGGAGGGCAGAAAGGAGAAGGCTATGTTTAGTTCACACTCGAGAATCCCCCTTCCTTCACAGGCCTGGAGAGGTCCTCAGTCAGCCACCGCCCCCCAAGGCCCTCTCCATGGTCAGTGGAGATGGAAGCCTCGCCAACAGCACATTTAGGGGTAAGTTCCATTTTCAGCAAGTCCTCCCGGCCCCATCTCTCCTAACTTCTTCCTTCTTTTCCATTCAATTCCATCCATAATGTAGCAATCGCAATCGTAATGCTTCTATTTGCTTTTTATCAGGCAGAAGTTGGTAGAGTCTTGATTTGATATCACTGAAGTCAAAAAAGAAGCACCTCTTGGCCCCTCGTTTTCCTCATATGTGAGCCCTATCTTATGGGGTTGTCCTAAATCAGACAATGCACATAAACTGTTTAGCAAATGCCTGGCATGGTGCTATGGTAGCAGATGCTCTGTAAATAGCAGCTGCCATTAATGCTGCTTTTGTTTTTGTTAATAATTGGTATTCAGGCTCCTATCCATCACTTCTCCTCACACCTGGCAGCACTAAAAACAGAGCTTCAGTAATTGACATGGAGACTTAGCCTGCTCTACTTAGATGCCATTTCGGTTAGGAAAGTCATTCTTCAGGACCTATTTGATTCATTAAACCCAACTGGAAGAATCCGTGGCATTTGAATTTACCAATGATTAAGAAAGCAATTTTCCTACAACTTTTGAAAACCGGGTAATAAAACCTGGCAAATTACAGCAGAATGTGTCCTTCAGAATTCTATGGAACTCTGAGAAAACCAGAGCATCTAACCTCAAAAGATTGAGAAAATACTTCCCACATTTTCCCCCAAAAGGATATCAGATATTGAAGCAACTTGGAAAGATTACTCATTTCCACTATTTTCCCAAAGGGAAAAACACTCTACCCTGGGCATGCATTTGAGAACTGGAGCCTATTTTGTGGTAAAAAATTCCACTTCCTAACCCATCAATTGTGAACAGTCCAATTAGTGACTAAAATATTTGAATTTCTAAAGTTAATTAATCAAGTCAACATCTTCCACTGAAAAGGAAATAGAGAAGTTAAAGTACTGAAGAAATAGCTGACTATAACATAATCTCTTATATGAGGTGGTATTTGTGAGACTGTGAATATTTTAGGATGTTTCGAAGTAAAGCCCTGTGTTGGTCTGGAACTCGGAGAGGCCCAGTGAATTCTCTGAAATTATCTGTAAAATTCTCTCTGACATCTGTACGTACATTTTTCTTAGGAAAAACATTATCTTATGTTGGGTACCCTTGAGGCAGAGCCTAAAACAGGAATTTGGGTGCATGAGGGAGTTACCTCAAGGTGAAAAGACTAAGGGGAACAGGACAAGGCACAGAATAAAACCAAGAGAGAAGGTGGCTTCAACCCAAGTCCAGCTTCAACGTGATCCTATGGGGCACCCTGGAGCATGAGATACACATAGAACTGGCAGCAGTTTTGTCCATCTGGGTGAGTCACGGCTGCTGGGGCGTGGTGCAGGGTAATCTAGTAGGGTGGCACCCTGGAGAAAGAGGTAGCGTCGGGGCATTGGCAGCCCACCCTCACTGCAGCCGGGGGCTTGGTATCCTGGCCTGGTCTTGGAGGGGCATCACTTACACACGTTTCTCAGAGTGTCTGGGCATCCTGACCCCAAAGGATTAAGAAACACTTTCTTTAAAACGTTCTGTCTCTACAGGTGAGAAATGTCATAAGTCAGAAATTATTGATCACAGCACTTTTTGTAATAGCAAGACTGAGAACAACCCAAATGTCCATCAGGAGGGGATTCACTCAATGAATGATGGTATTTGCATAAGAGCGAATACTCTGCAGCCTTGAAAAGAATGGGGAAGTTCTCAGTATTGACTTTACAATGATTATCAAGATACATTGTTGACTAGAATAATAAAATATGAAGCAATGCATTTGGTATGTTGCCATCTGTACAAAAAAAGAGGGTAAAAGTTTTTTTTGCTTGATTCTGTACAAAATATCTCCAAAAGATGCATAAGAAATTGGTAAATCTGGTTGCTTCTCAGGAGAGGAGCTGAGTGCCTGGGGGGCAAGGTTCAAGGGGAGATAATGGCTCTCTCTTGTTTGCTGTCCTTTAGGATAGTATTTCATTTTTTTAAGGCCTCACTCAAAGATTCTAGAACAATACCTTATTGCTTCAGACTTAGTAATGATAGATGTTTTGAGGAGAGTAATGAAAACAAGTGTTTTGCTTATCTGGGAATTTGAGCTACTTTTCTCCTCGCCTGTTTGGCCCACCAAGATCACTAAAAAGCAACCCCACGATAGGAAACAATTCAACCAGTTTTTGCAACATCCTTTGTTTTTCATTTAAGAACTCCTTATCTAATCTCTCATCAGCCTAAATCAGTTGATTAATTCACTCCCTAAATCCATGTGAAGTGTTTGGGGTTTAATCATGACTTCATGTCTGTTTTTCTTCTTTCTCATGGGTCATGATTAGGGGAGGCAGTTCTCAGAACTTGTCAAGGAGAGTCATGATGTGCTTAGTATACCGAGAGCAAGCACACGTCGTTGACAGAGAAGAATTTCGTGTAGTCAAGTGCTATTTAAAGAAAATGTAATATAGTCAATACAGTAGCTCACATCTTTGGAGTACTTGATGCCAGACAATGTGCCAAGCATTTCCCATATTTATTTTATATAATTCTTTCAACAACTTTAAGGGGAAAGGGGGAAGATATTATTATACCCATTTTGAACTAAAGAAATGGAAAGCAAAAAAGGTTAATACACTCAAGGTTATATAAATAGTAAGCAGAGGAGCTGAAACGCGTACTTGGCCTGCCTGACCCCAAACCCAAGTCCTTACCACTCCACTCTCACTGGTCACTGGTCAGCTAATGAGAAGAAGCCATTTTCCTGTTCCTTTTTTGGAGCTGGCTTCAGAGCCTTGCTCTAGACTCACCTGCTAGGGGATCAGAGACCCAGAAACCACTCAAGAGCTTGGTCCCAAAAACTGCATCTATCAACTGCTTTCCTTCTCCAGCTGTCAGAAGATGCCCAAATGGTAACTTTTCTGCCTGTGGCTCCTGAGAACATGGTAGCATCTATTACGGATCCTGTCTACAATGACCAGCTACTGAGGAGCCAAGGAGCCAGTGAAGACTCCAAGTGGAAGCAGTAATAACCATAATATTAATGAAACAACCTAATGCCCGATGAAGGGCCATTCAGTTTAGTTGCTCAGTCGTGTCCAACTTTTTGTGACCCCATGGACTGCAGCATGCCAGGCCATCCTGTCCATCACCAACTCGTGGAGTTTACTCAAACTCATGTTCATTGAGTCAGTGATGCCATCCAACCATCTCATGCTCTGTCATACCCTTCTCCTCCCGCCTTCAATCTTTCCCAACATCAGGGTCTTTTCCAGTGAGTCAGTTCTTTACATTGGGTGGCCAAAGTATTGGAGTTTCAGCTCCAACATCAGTCCTTCCAATAAATATTCAGGACTAATCTCCTTTAGGATGGGCTGGTTGGATCTCCTTGCAGTCCAAGGGACTCTCAAGAGTCTTCTCCAGCACCACAGTTCAAAAGCATCAGTTCTTCGGCACTCAGCTTTCTTTATAGTCCAAATCTCACATCCATACATGACCACTGGAAAAACCATAGCCTTGACTAGATGGACCTTTGTTGGCAAAGTAACATCTCTGCTTTTAGGAAGGGTAAAAATCAGTGATTCTCTTTACTCAAAGCAGCCACAGTAGTGTCAGTCTGGTTTTAGCTACCTCTGAGTACCATTGCCCCTATGGTAATGAGGAAAAATTCCCAGTAAGAAATATTGCCCTGCACTTGTCTTCTGTGTGGCTCTAACCTGCAATTGGCGGTACCCTGACTCTTCAAGACAAGTGGAATGGAGTCTCCCAAGAATCATATCTCTTGGGCAAATAAGGTATCATTTTCATCAGCAAAAATTAGATTATCCCAATTTAACTCGCACCCCCTCCACCACCCCCCATCAGCTATATAGTAGAAAGACAGCCAGGACACATCAGGTAAAAAGAGTCAGGTGTTCATCTAGGCCCAAGGCTGGCTCCCTCATTAGAGAAAGAGAGCAAAGTGAACTAGCGCCTGGTAGAACCTGAGCAGCAAAGAGTGAGGCGACTTGAGCTATTAATCAGGAAGAAAGATGGCAAAGGGGCTAGTGTCTGTCAACTCCTTCCTTTGTGCAACCCCTCTATGTACCACAACTCTCTAAACAGACAGCAAAAGCAAAAAGAACGATGAGTCTCCACTTTCGAAAGACTGAAGATCAAAAAAGAGGTTTTGACCAATGTGAGGATATATTCTCTTAGAAATATAAGTGAAATAGACAAATGTCTACCTGCTACATTTATTAATTTACCAACACATTACAAATATTATAGTGATTTAGAAATACTGCTAACTTAGAAATATTTCTTTTAAATATTCCCATCTCACATTCATGAAACCATCGTACATTAGTTCTTCATATCTCCTTTACTATCGCCGTCCTTGTCATAACCAAAGTCACATTTTGAGGCATCTAACAGCTTTCCAAAACACATCACCTTTACTTCCCACTAAGCTGTTTTGAGATAACATTGCTTTTTGAATCAATATAATACTATGCTCTTAATGAAAATTTACCTGAGGCCCCAGATATCCATTTCTGTAAGGATTAGTACAGATGTGTCTCTTCATTCATTCTCTAAATGTGTATTTATGATATTTATAAAATTATTATTGCTTTTAAAAGTGATCCTTAAAGGCCTGTTTTCAATGGTATCTAGTATTTGCTCTTATGAAGTTATATCCCTAGATTTATGACTAAATCCGTATTACCCTGAGATAATACAGATTTATGACTATATCTGTATTAAATCTGCCTCCTTTGGAAAAAATCCATTGTGTAAGGCAACCCTTATAACCACTCCAAACTGCAGCTGACAGCAGAACATTGTCTCAGAACAATTTGTCCATCTCAAACAGTACTTTGTCAAAATAAAGGAAAAGAATCCTCAAGTGTCTCGGTCCAGGTTCCACAGCAGGCAAAGCTTTCCAGCTGCCAGTCTATCAGGGAACCGCAAGCAGGAGTGGGGCGCCGGGCAGCAGCAGATATGGGGTGCCTTCCTGAGCTGCAACCCTGCTGGTACCAAGGGGACCAAGGGCGCCTTCTCTCAAGACACCCTCCAAGAGGCCTTACAACTGCTTCTTGGCACAGGTGGGGAAGAGGGACGAATTCATCCCCCCCTAGTCTCCCTGGGGTCAATATTGGCCCTTGGGGAGAGCTCCCCCCACCCCATGGACGCTCAGTGTGAGCACTGAACGGGCCTCACAGCAAGATGGCAGCATCTGCAGGGAACCGCCAAAGGAGCGGGAAGAAGGTGCGGCAGAAAGTGGGAGGCTGTCGTCACCCCTGTGTGAAGGCACACCGCCGGTGGCAGCTGGGAGTTACCTTGAAACCAAGTGAGTCTGAGAGGCTATCACAGGGCCTCTGACACACCCCCTTATAGTGACACGAATAAAAGGTAGTTCCTTTTTAGTTCTGAGGGGTAAGTTTTCAGAGGGAGAAAAAGCTCCCCTTATGGGAAGACATACACAGTACATTGTTTATCGCTCAGAACAAGCCTGCCAGGTGGATATATTAGTATTTCCACTGTACATATGAGGAAGCCAAAGCTCAGGGAGGTGAAGTAACTCGCCTGAGGGGTGCAGCCAGCCCTCCATGGGCAGGGTGTCGAGGGAACACATACCCCGACCTCACTCTGCCATTTTCAGGGTACTCGGGTCTTGTTTTAATCCAGTCCCTCAAGACACACAGACGCAAAATGACTCGCCAAGGAAGACATTTTTATATGCATGCTTCCTCAGAAATAGGAGGCATGGCCCCCCACTGTGTGAGGCGTCCACGGGAGGTCCTATAATTGGTCAGGGGGCAGAAGGAGCAGGAGAAAACATGACCAAGAAGAGCCTTTCCTGTGGTTTCCACTGGAAGGGAAAAGAGAGGCAGGATAAGGAAGTTAGGCTTCCTTAGGATTGGCTAGGCTAAACAGTGGGTGTAGGGGCTGCCTCTAGTCAACTGGTACCTGGTCCGGGGTGGGCAGGACGGGGGACTATGGCCCAGAGTGTGAGAGCTGATGAAGATGGCAGCTGGTAGCGGGAACACTGGATTGGTTTATTTGCCTGTGAAAGGGGGCACTCCAGGGTCTGATGGAGTCAAAGATGTCAAAGCTTCAGTGAACAGAAAATAAGACAGGCTTAACGGAAGGCCCTCTCCCTGATTTCCTGCCAGTGCTGCCATTGGCTGGACCCTCCAAGAAGCTAGAGCATAAGGGAGCCCCTATGGTGGTGAGGCAGCCCGTCCAAGCCCACCTCCCAGGAAGCCGAGAGGGTGGAGAAGGCGGGGAGTGGACCTAGGGGGAGATAGAACAGCTCCGTGTTTAACGTCCTTCCTGCAAGACGAGGACTGGGGCGTGGGGTGCACAGCAGGCCCCCAGTCAACCAGTCTTCACCCGTTTGTCCAATGCTGAGAGCCCAAGCCTACCCCACGCTGCTCTAGGCAGGCAGACGGTGGAGCCCCCAGGACCCGCGACGTCCTAGTTCTCCAGAGCTTATATATTAGCTGAGGGACACAGAGAGTAAACAAGTGGACTACAGACAGGATTTTATAGGCAGTGGGTGCCCAGTGACTTGGTCATGCCCGTCTCTTTGCGACCCCATGGACTGTAAGCCTGCCAGGCTCCTCTCTCCATGAGATTCTCCAGGCACGAGTACTGGAGGGGGTGGCCATGCCCTCCTTCAGGGGATCCTCCTGACCCAGGGATCGAACCCACATCTCCTACAACGCAGGTGGATTCCTTACCGCTGAGCCACCGGGGAAGCCCTTTGTAGACAGCAATCAGCGTTAAAAAAAGGACAGACAACAGTGTGGAGATGATGAGGAAGGAGCAGGCACACACCCCCTTTCCTGGTCTGAACCTTGCGGGGGCTCCTGGCTGCCTTCAGCATTGGCCGCCTGGGGCCTCCCCCCAGGCCTCCAGCCTCTGTCTGCAGCCTGTCTCCCACACTCGTCACCCCGGGACGGGCAGCCCAGCAGGGCACCGTCACCCCTCGGCCTCCACTCGTCAGCCTTTGCTGCTCTGTCCCCCGACGCGCTTCTCACCCGCTGCTTCACCCCCATTTCTTCTCCTGGCTCATCCTCCTCACCTTCCAGGGCTCGGATGTCAGGAGGAAGCAATGGCCGACACCCCGGTGCCATCAAGCCGTCCTGGCCCCCTGGCCGGGTTGTGTCCCTCTTCACCGGGCATTGCCTTCCAGGCCTGACTCCTCAGACTCGCTCTAGAAACTGTTCTGTCTCCCCCTAGGTCCACTCCCCGCCTTCTCACCCTCTCGGCTTCCTGGGGGGTGGGCTTGGAGGGGCTGCCCAGCTCTCAACACCTGGGCCGGGAGCGCCGGCCCCCTCTTGGCTCTCCACAGCGGCTCTGTCTTCCTTCACCGAGTGTTTGGGGACCACGATGACTTCCTCACGGGTTTCGTGAAGAGTAAATGAGGTGATGCTCACACACCCAGTGCCTCGCACAGTATTCAAGAGTAGTATTCAAACCCTCCTCAGGTTGCTTTTTTTTTTTTAACTCAAAAAGGAGCATTATTTTAAAGATTTTTTAAAAAAGGTTCACACATTATTGAAATATATATATTTACGTGTGCATGCATACATGCTCAGTTGCTTTAGTCGTGTCTGACTCTTTCAGACACTATGGACTGTAGCCCACCAGACTCCTTTGTCCATGGGATTCTCCAAGCAAGAATACTGGAGTGTGTTGCCATGCTTTCCTCCAGGGGATCTTCCTGAATCAGGGATTGAACCTGTGTCTCTTACATTTCCTACATCAGGAGGCGGGTTCCTTACTGCTGAGCCACCAGGAAAGCCTGAAATATATATAAAATGAATGTTGCATCTTCTTCTCAACCTATATTATCCAGTTTCCCTTCCCAGAGCATCAACAATAAGCCAGTAAGCATTTAAGACCACACGTGCCTGAATGTACGTGTGTGTAGACACACAGATCAATAGATCCTTTTTCATACTAATCAAAGCTGACACTGTCCTGAAGCTTCCTTTCTTCTCACAACAACATATCTTACAGTCAATATTCTTTTTAATGGCTGTCTGACATCTGCTCACATGAGGAGTTCACTATTAAGTGGACTGTAAGCAATGGAGTTTTAAGCTGTGTAGAGCATTTTGTTACAATAGCACACAACCTTGCACGTGTCACACCCTGTCTGGTGGTGACAGCCCAGCAGAGTGGGTCTTGATCTCTGAAGGGCCCGATACAGGGCCTGGCTGGGAGGGTGACTGCTGGGTGATAAATGAATGAGTGACATCTGACCTTTGTCCCCTCCCAGGGGGTAGCACCCTCTCTTCTGAGTTCTTCCTCATCCAAGTAAAGACAGACCAGCCATTCAGTGTCTGGTCCTTGGGTTTGCAAATACCAGGAAACAAATAATACGACCTTTCTTCTTTGACTGCAGATATGTTGGGACACAGATTCAGATCTTTTGCCAGATTTGAAATACCTTTCCATGCGATGCCTGAAAATTGAATGAATGAATGAATGAAGTCGCTCAGTCATGTCCAATTCTTTGCGACCCTGTGGACTGTAGCCTACCAGGCTCCTCCATCCATGGAATTCTCCAGGCAAGGATGCTGAAGTGGGTTGCCATTTCCTTCTCCAGGGATCTTCCCAACCCAGGGATCGAGCCCGGGTCTCCCGCATTGCAGGCAGACGCTTTACAGTCTGAGCCGCCAGGGAAGCCCATACCAAGGGCCAAAAGCTGATCACCTCTGTTGTCCTCAGACTTGAAGCGGAACTACCTCCAACATCTTCTTTCCTTGTGGTGGCTGGATGGAGCCTCGCTTTGCTAGCCTTTCATCACCATTGTGAAGGGACTTTATAAAAGGCTCTGACATGCCTATAAGGCGCTGAGCCAGGAGACAAGGCAGCAGATCTGAAATAATGTGAAAAGCTCAGAGACCTGAGTATTCTCTAAGGGGGTTCTCTGGCCCAGTTCTTCCTCCCATGTGGCCCGTGGGAGAGGAGACGGCTCTGCTCTAGCTGGGCACGAGCTCCACCTCCAGGCCCAGACCCAGGCGGTGAATTCCCTGCCAGGGGACAGAACTCTTAGCCACTTGTTTGTGATGTGCATGACACAGAAGTGTTGAGTACAACTTGATTCTTGGAGTTTTAACTGGACCCAACATATACTTACTTAGAGATTTATCAGACATTGTGTTTTGTTCTGGGGTTAGAGACAAAATCAGCGTAGTGTTCAGCTGCAAGAAGATAAGAGGAACTTCTCATCTGCCCAGTGGTAAAGACTCCTCACTTCCACTGCAGGGGGCACAGGTTTGATCCCTGGTCAGGGAACTAAGATCCCACCTGTCTTGAAGCTGGGTGTGGCCAAGTAAATAAATTAGAAGATAAGGAAAATGAGGAGTGCTATAACAGGAGAGTGGCCTGGAGGTTTAGAATGAAACTATAGGATCCAAATAATTTTCTGGAGAGAATGGCATTTGGCCGAGTCCTGAAGAATAAATGTGTAATGCTTGTAGAATGGGTTTGGGTCAGGCGGTCACGAGCATCCTTGTTGCTGTTGTTCAGTCACTCAGTTGTGTCTGACTCTTTGTGGACAGCAGGTCACCAGGCCCCCCTGGCTTTCACTGTTTCCCAGATTGGGCTCAGATTCCCGTCCTCTGAGTCAGTGATGCTGTCTAAACATCTCATTCTCTGCTGCCCTCTTCTCCTTTTGCCTTTAATCTTTCCCAGCATCAAGGTCTTTTCCAAGGAGTCGACTCGTCACATCAGGTGGCTAAAGTATTGGAGCTTCAACTTCAGCATCAGTCCTTCCAGGGAATATTCAGGATTGATTTCCTTTAGGATTGACTAGTTTGATCTCCTTGCAGTCCAAGGGACTGTTAAGAGTCTTCTCCAGCACCACAACTCAAAAAAAAGCATCAGTTCTTCAGTGCTCAGCCTTCTTTATGATCCAACTCTCATATCATACATGACTAGCAGAAAAGCCATAGCTTTGACTATATAAACCTTTGTTGACAAAGTGATGTCTTTAATTTTTAATATGCTGTCTAGGTTTGTCATAGCTTTCCTTCCAAGGAGCAAGCATCTTTTAACTTCATGGCTGCAGTCACTGTCCACAGTGATTTTGGAGTCTAACAAAATAAAATCTGCCTTTGCTTCCACTTTCCCCCTTCTATTTGCCATGAAGTGATGAGACCAGATGCCATAATCTTAGTTTCTTGAATGCTGAGTTTTAAGCCAGCTCTTTCACTCTCCTCTTTCACCCTCATCAAGAAGCTCTTCAGTTCCTCTTCACTTTCTGCCATTAGAGTGGTATCATCTGCGTATCTGAGGTTGTTGATCTTTCTCCTGCAACCTTGATTCCAGCTTGTGCTTCCTCCAGCCAGGCAAGTCGTACGATGTACTCTGCATATAAATTAAATAAGCACAGTGACAATACACAGCCTTGACGTACTCCTTTCCCAATTTTGAACCAGTCCATTGTTCCATGTCTGGTTCTAGCTGTTGCATCCTGACTGGCATACAGGTTTCTCAGGATACAGGTAAGGTGGTCTGGTATTCCTATCTCTTTAAGAATTTTCCACAGTTTGTTGTGACCCACACAAAGTCTTTTGTGCAGTTAATGAAGCAGAAGTAGATATTTTCTGAATTCCCTTGCTTTCTCTATGATCCAAGGAATGTTGGCAATTTGATCTCTGGTTCCTCTGGCCCTCTCTAAACCCAGTTTGTACATCTGGAAGTTCTCAGTTCACATACTGCTGAAGCCTAGCTTGAAAGATTTACAGCATAACCTTGCTAGCATATGAAATGAGCACAATTGTGCAGTAGTTTGAGCATTCTTTGGCATTGCCCTTCTTTGGGACTGGAATGAAAACTGACCTTTTCCAGTCCTGTGGCCACTGCTGAGTTTTCCAAATTTGCTGACATATTGAGTGTAGTACTTTAACATAATCATCTATTAGGATTTGAAATAGCTCAGCTGGAATTCCATCACCTCCATTAGCTTTGTTCATAGTAATGCTTCCTAAGGCCCATTTAATTTCGCACTCCAGGATGTCTGGCTCTAGGTAAGTGACCATACCATCGTGGTTATCTGGGTCATTAAGACCTTTTTCGTATAGTTCTTCTGTGTATTCTTGCCACATCTTCTGGGGCCCCTGACATTGGCACAAAGGAAACTTGCTCCACCACTTTGGACTTTCACATCAGAGAGAAACAAACTTCCATCCTGAGTAAGTCTGTCCTGAATCTGGGTTACTTTGACAATGCCTACACTTAGCAGATCTGATCCAAGAAAAATTATGAAAGCTACAAACTGTGAGCTGAGTTTCCTTTCTCTCCACCCTCTTCAGTGTGATCTGCTCCATGGGTTCCAGGCTCTTCATATTGTCCCCCCACTCCCACCCCCACCTCCTCACTGGTTGGCCAGGGCCTGTGTGCTTCCAACATCCTTTACCCCACTCCCTAATTCTCAACCCATCAAAACTTGTCAATCATGTGTCTTTCATTCAGTTACAGGGAATTTTCTTCTTCTCAACTTCTTGGGACAGGAATGACTCTTTAATCTGAAGATACAAACCACCAATGGCTAGTTACAGCTTCATGTATGACCTGAAATTTGGACAGGGAATCATGCAGACATGGGTCTGAACCTGAGTTCTGCTACTTTCCAGGTGTAGTGAGCATGAGGCTTTTGTGGTCTCTGCCTCCTTATTTGTAAAATGGTGATATGAGCACCAATTTTATAGAATTATTAAGAGAATAAAATAAAATAAAACATTTAGCATAGTTCCTGGAAGAGGATGAGAGTCAAGCTAATTACAACTCTTCTAGAAATGTGTGTTTTCATCCAGGTTCAAGCAGTCCAAGTGATGGTCATTGATCCTGCTTTTAGAGACCCCTGAGGATAAGATTTCTCCAGGCCCCTTCAGCGAGCCTGCTTAATCATCCTCAGAAATCCTTCCTCATGTCCACCAGGCCCTCTCTCATAGCTGCTCAGGCCTTTTTGAACTGTCTGTGCAAGACATGTGGACAGCTTTCTCCTTGAGATTCTTTGCCTCTCTCTCTTTAGGTTAAAAACCTTTGAGTCTTGTATCATTGCGTCATAAAATTCATTGTCTCTTACTGGGATAATTTAATAATTTTGTTACTCATTTCA